AAATAAGATCGACAAGCTTGCTAGCTCATGTCACGCTTAACACAATATCAGTGACTTACTTGACTTGAGCCATTCTCGGATTGAAATTATGGGGACTACCAAAGTCAGTAGAATAGTTTCAAACAGGTTAATGTTAATAATAGTTCCTAAATCAATATTTACTCGCTAAGAATAAAATAAAACGTTGAATCATTCCTTCATCAGCAAGTCGAATATACTAATCATTTGTTTGAAGCCGCTACAGCATAGACATTGGAAAACTATGTTCGTTATGAGTGCAGTTTGGAAAAAATTATAAATAATTGATTTTGTTTGTCTGTTGCTTAAAAGAATTACTTCAGCAAGACTTGAGACATGTTTTGCTTGAAAAACAGGTGATCTTGTTCTGTCTCTGCTAGTATTATTATGGTCTTTACTTCGTAGGGACTTAATTTTATTAAACAAAATGTCCTCTTGATGAATCAGCCCAGCGTTTTTAGTTTCGTGACCGATGGAACAATTATCTGCAGACAGAAGCACAATATCACGTTACGCAGTGTATTGGAGTTTGAATGCGCCACAGGTATGAAAATGTGCTTTTCTCTGGACGCTAGTGAGTCTGGGTTTTTGTATCGTAATGTGAGCTTTAATTATTTCAAACCTAGAAAGACAGCTGTCTGGTGATCTCACCGAGAGGACAATCTTGGGGCAGTTCCACTGACAATAACAGGAGGTGCTTTGTGAATGTAGGGTATTTCAGCTTTTGCAGCAACAGGATTATTTGAATCTGACTGGTACAAAATTTCTTAAACGAACCTTAGTCAGAGAAAATTAGAGGAGCGTTGTATTATCCAATGTTACGGGGCAGTTTATCCTATGTGCGATTTAAAAGTGTGAGATTGGATGGTCAATGATTTGTTATCTTTATATTGCGACAATTGATGGTAAAGGGTACGCAAGAAAATGGTATTATGTTGCAAGCAATCTAACAGCTGCCCGGCTTGCAATTTATTGTATCGTGTCATGCGTAGCACCATGGCAGTGGCACTGCAGTACCCAGTTGGAGTTTGTTCAACTATTCGTTTATGATAGACCTAGCATATTTTGTTTACAGAGCTCTTAGCTATCAGGCCGACATATAGTATCAATTCCTGGGGGGGGGGGGGGGGTGATGCACAATGATAAATCTGTCTAGTACATTATACAGTATTCATGATTTTATTTGTTTATTTGATTCTGATTGAGAAATACAGAATATACAAAATACAGTAATGCAGGTATGTTGCTTAATATTGCCAATAAAAAATTCCTGGTAAAACAGCACTAAATTTGCCCCAAATGTTAACCTGTCATCACCTTACTGTATGGGTCAAACTCACACAAAACTGCAACCTAAACATGCATGACCACACACATACAGCAATGTCCCATGAAATGTGACAGAACCAGAGCTTTCCCAACCAAACAACTCAACTTTGTCAACTATTTTATGGATAAATCCCCATTTTATTGTTTTTCTTCACAGCATGATTGTATTAAATGATAATATTTGCTTTATTGATCATCACAGAGCAACACATAATCGTGAATATTATATTACTGTGATGTGGTTTTGATAGTTCGAGAAATAGTTCACAGAATACGTCACCCATGACTTTAGAAAACATAAATTACAAAATCAGAAATAATATTGAATAAGTAATGTGTCTAAACACAGACCCTGTACACATTTTTTTTTTTTACAATGTCAGAAACCAGGAGTGGCCAGGCCACTACATTTGGCAGCACTAACCACACTCCAATAACTGGATAACACAGCTAAGCAGCTTGAGACATTACAGGTATCAGAGACACCACTTTGTGACACTGCTTCCCTGTTATCATAGTTAAACATCAGAGGACATTCAGAGATTAACTAATCTCACATGCTGTAACATGTACAATTGACATTAAATAGTGATCAGGTATCCTATTAAGATTTATATTTTTTTTACATTTAGGGTGCAACCAAATAAGTTATCAAATCAAGTCACTACCAATACATTTCCCATTTAACCATACAATCACCATGCCATGTGCCAAGACACACATTCCAATATACCATCTTAATAAAGTGAGCTTTATATGTTTCCCTCTTTTTCATGATATCCGCATGCTTTCCACTATGATTATATCAGAATTGGTATAAATGTGTTAATGTGCAAAACAGTATCTACAGTTTTAAACACCACTGTTGAGGTAAAGGCATTACTTTGGAGACACAGAGATAGGATGTACGTTTTCAAACTTTTCAAACTTTTTTCTATATTAATCTGTTTAAAATACACACTAAAAAGTGTTTGTATTGAAGTGCAATGGCTCAAAGATTATTATTTGTTTTTAAATCTCTATAAAACAGGGCTCCAGTTGGACTCCAGTTGGAGTTGGAATAAAAAACAACAGATTATAAGAGTCTGTATGGAAGTTAGTGTTTCCATATGAAATATTGAAAGTTTAATTTTTTTCTTGGTATTTTACAGGAGGCAGACTCAACTCACCAAAGTGCAACCAAATACCTCTGACACTATAAATTACATATGCAAGCAAAATATATAAGCATGTATCAAAATAAGATCAAAATAAAATCCAGGTATTATAATATTTGATAAATGGCGCCACCTGATTGCTACATAGAGTGAAAGCTTAAACATGCTTTGACCGACTCTGGGAGACTTAACAGAACAGAACTAAGTTTCTTACTTTATTATTACATTTTTCTTTTTGATATGCACTGTTTGACATGCATTCATGGTGGTATAGTACACTGTACATGCTTCAGCTGCCAAAATAATAAATTCTACCTGTTTTGGTAGATAACGACAATTAGTAGGTAGACACTAACCAAACCAAAAGTTTGTCAGTAAGCTCTTCCCTGTGAGTCATGAATATAAGCATCTTATATTTTCATTTGGATCATTTGGTATTATTTCCTGTATTACTGTTTGTAAATGGGAACTCTTATCTGTGTGGAATATTGGTCATGGTAAGAGTTACTACGTATATAGCTGCATATTTGTGGCGTCATGTGGCTGGCAGTGTTGGCACCAACCTGAATTACGTGATTGTGGGTGCAATGTGAGTTGTTCACTTAAAATTGTCTTTGATATGTTTTTGACTTTGACAAAATTGGTGTCATGTATTCAACAATAATTCACTTTATCTCTAACCACATCCTCCCACAGTACTAGTTTTATTCTGAGAGGAAAGCTCAACATTGTCACTGACAATTTTTACCTATGCAGTATGTGCAAATAATTGTACACTGTATTACAGTTACAGATGTTGTAAGTATGTATGGTCTAATACTAAGACTCATTTAACCTTATGAATAATGTTACTGAACTATTAGAACCTCTGTATACAGGCATACTAACATGTTTCTGTCATAGGGGTGGACGGTATAACCAGTAATGACATACATTAGCGATATAAAGACTTGGCTATGCTGTTTTTAATAGTACAGAATTCATTTTAGCTGTAAAGTCACATAAAGGACTCAGAAAGCATCACTGCAACCCACTAAGTGTTAACCAGTGCAGTTGTTAGGTATAGTCCAATAAAAACACGAGCATACCGCTTCCAATTTACGCACACACACACACACACACACACACACAAAAACACTTTTGCATGCTAACAGAAAGTGGATGAAGAAATGAAACCAGATAGAAGACAGATGCAGAATTAAAAGGTACAGAGATTATTAGAAAACATAACAGAAGACATGTGACAGTAGAAAAAGCACCGGTGTAAATAATAACATGAATGATGGCTGACTTTGATTTAGCTGCTTCAGTTTCAGGGTCCTGGTATTGTTCGTGCTGGCTCACTGTCACTCTACCTGTCTGAAATTGCTTCCTTGTTCATTCATGCAATACTCTGCCCATATAATAGACATTCAAGTAGTGTACATGGCAATGGACACTGCTTTCTTTGTTCTATTGTGTGGGAACCATATTATAGTGCTTACATTTTACATTAAAAATGGCGGAGGGTGAAATATAATGCACTATATATTAAATAGGCATACATTTCTGACACAGCTACAGTCGTGACTTCCTGGGATGCTTGAATAGAACAGAGCCATTGTTGATGTGATCAGCAACACCTGTGATATTTCTACTATGACAAGTCAAAATGTC